CTTTTATATTATGCTTATAGACATGAGGCATAAGCATTATTGTTGCAGAAAGCAAATACATTTCTGCAACAGTCGTTTCTTTCCACCGGTGTAGTCTTGACTGTGGTGATGTGATCGTATTTGCCATGGTGTACTCAAAATACTTATTGCTTTCCCTGACAATAATTTCCATCAATGGCTGGTCAAAGAATAATTCAAAGAATTCCAGTTCATTGGCCATGGTTCCAAGGGGGACAAGTAGGTAGAATTCCACTTTGAGAGTCATCAAAGTGGTGAGGCTTGGGAACAAAATTGGGATTTTGCTGCCAATCCCACATACGGTTTGCTGGTGGATACTGGACATCATAGGCTGGTTGTGCGGGTGGTTGTGGTTGTGGTGGGCTGGTGGCTGGCGCTCCGCTTTGTCCTTGAACTGACGAGTCAGCAGCGTGGGTCCCCAGCGTGGCCTGGTGGAGTCACGCATGGCGGTGCCACTACCATCACCACTAACACCATCCACTGATGCCTGTGGTCTATCCATGCCAAGTGTAGCCACATCATCCTCACTATCACTACCTAAAACTGGTGTTGGGCCACGGGATGTACTCCGGGATGTACTCCATCTCCTGGGCACAGCATAGGGTACACTACCCGAGCGCATGTGGCGGCGAACATACCGACGCTTCACTGGTGAATATGATTCCTCACTATCACTACTCGAATGATCGTCGAGCGCAATAAAATCACAGTCCACGTCACTATCATCATCATTACTGAAGTCAGAGGCCTGGCCACGCGAAAATATTAGTTTTCTCTTGCGATGAGGAACAACTGCCCGTGAGTCACGAGCGCCCACACCAGAGGTAGAAGGTTGAGGATCGTCAGGGTTTTCTGCATTATTATCGATATCCTGGTCATTCTTTTCAGTCACTAACTGATCAAAGCCGTAGAATTCATCTTCATTTCCACTTCCATCAGTGTCAGAACTATCAGATAGGAAGAGGAGAGTCCCAATTTTCCGGGGAGTGAGAGCTGACTTGCGACGAGGCATGGTGAACAAGGGTAACTGAGCCGGCGTTCCCACAATGCTATGCGGGCGCCTAGATTTTTTGTTTATGGCGCACACCCACCACGCAGACCCGTTCTCTCACATGTAGGCCTATGAGCATTTTCGCGCTAAATTTGACGGCGCTAGAATTTTGGCATAGATCTACGGTTTGGACACTCAACATAAAGCCGTTGATCTATGGGACGGACCCTGAAAGGGTTAATCGAAAAATCATGATTTCAGTTTTTTCTCTCATTATACACTGTGTGCTGCAGGATCTGTTTTATGTGGTGTACACATACCACATAGATGTATTCTCTCATATCTAGGCCCAAATGTGCCACTCAGTTTATCAGAGTGAGCCGAGCTCATGACGTAGATCTACGGTTTGGACCCTGAACGTAAAGCCGTAGATCTACAGGATGGACCCTGAAAGGGTTAAATACCTGTAGTGTAGTCCTACCATAGAGAATTACTCATGGCTGGTGGTAGATGTCTGTGGTATGTGGCGTTGAAGTTCCAGTGGTAGATTCGAGATGGAGTTGAATCTTGATTCAGTCGAGTTGATCCTGGCAAGGTCGCCACTTGTGAAGGCTTACTCAGCCCTGTAACAACTTCAGTAAGTATTACCAATGCTGGCTCCTCCTCAGAAAATTAATGAATAGAAAAAGAATAATAAGTCAAATATAAACACTATTATTTAGAAATGAAAATATAAAACAAATATGAATTTTTATCCTTCTTGAAAGAGAAATGAAAAATGAAATATAAAAATATCTGAATTCAACGCTAATATGCACAGTTAGACTGGGGTGTCTGGTTGATGTTGACACCGCGTATTGTAGAAATTGTAGCCGTTACTGATGATGGGGGGGGGGGGTCACAGATGTTGAGCGACAACCCAACAACTAGTTCTTCAGTCTCTAGCCTTGAATAGTCCGTCAAGATGATAGGAACACAGGTTTTTCACCACTGCAAAGATGAGAGATAGTTGCCTGGGGTTGACTACACTTAGGTATGCAGATAAAATGGTGACATCTCAGAACTTGTGTAAAGTTCATCTCCTTCAACACTGTTTCTTTCGTTGCCAGATGATCCGAGCTGACATTCCAAGCTAGAAAGAGACAAAGGTTACCTACTGCCTAAGAAATTACTCTCCATGATAAGTAAAGTATTTAAAAAGCATGGTGATTATCTAAAAGCACATGAAAATCAAGGCAGAATGAACTATGTCTTAAAATTGGTTAAAAGTGAAGCTTTTAACCAATACAGTGGACCCCCGGTTAACGATTTTAATCCGTGCAAGAGGGGTAATTGTTATGCGAAATAATCGTTATGCGAATGAATTTTCCCCATAAGAAATAATGGAAATCAAATTAATCCGTGCAAGACACCCAAAAGTATGAAAAAAAAAAATTTTACCACATGAAATATACATTTTCCCACACACAAAGAGAAGGATACATGCACAATAGTAGAGTAGTACATGCACAGTATATATTGTGCATGTACTAGTCTACTAAATGAAGAATAAATGACACTTACCTTTATTGAAGATGCAGCAATGACTGATGAGACACTGTGTCCTGGGAGTGCCTTTTCCTCCTGAGTACTGTAGGTCCTGTTTGGCATTTTCTTCCAGAACATGCCTTATCACACTGTGTATGCCACTACGATTCTTAAATCTCTCAAACCAACCTTTGCTGGCTTTAAATTCACCAATATGAGCACTAGTTCCAGGCATTTTTCCCTGTTCACCTGGGTGTTAGTCGACTTGTGTGGGTTGCATCCTGGGAGACAAGATTAAGGACCCCAATGGAAATAAGTTAGACAGTCTTCGATGACACTGACTTTTTTGGGTTATCCTGGGTGGCAAATCCTCTGGGGTTAATTGTTTCTTGGTATTCTCAATAAGCCACACCAACAATGGTGCTACAGCAGCAGCAGCAGCTGACAGTGCAGCAGCAGCAGCAGCAGCTGACAGTGCAGCAGCAGCAGCAGCAGCTGACAGTGCAGCAGCAGCAGCAGCAGCTGTACCACCAATAGTAGCGATGGTTGATTGGGGTTTATTATACAACCTGGCCAGCTCGGAGACATGCACTCCACTTTCATACTTATCAATGATCTTTTTCTTCATCTCTATTGTAATTCTCACCCTTATTGCTGTAGGGTTGGCACTAGAAGCTTTCTTGGGGCCGATGGTCACTTATTTTCCAGAAAAAGCACCGAAAACACTGTAATACGAAATATTCCGATTGTATGCTTGGATGTTACCGCGGAGGCTGGCTGGTAAACAATGCCACCGGCGGAACATGTGAGCGTGGCTCAGGCCGCACATTGGACGCGTCTCGGACGAAAATCGGTAAGCGGGTTTTTAAGCGGTATGTGAGGCAAAATTTTTGCAATTAAAGTAAGCGGTATGCGAAATAATCGCTATGTGATGCCATCGTTATGCGGGGGTCCACTGTATATCCACTAGAATAGGAGCAGAGACTTTTACTTACAGTTGTGCTGAGAGATGCGAGTCGAGCGATTACCATTTGGTCAGAGCCCCACACGTCACCTTTCCGGGTGGAAAAACAGGGGGGGATAGCGGGAGCTAGACACTGACCCTACATTAACAAGCAGATGGGTAATCAAACTATCGTCATCATGTACTCGCTCGCTACTCCTATCTGTTGAACTTTTCCCTCACAGCTAGTAAAAAAAAAAATGCATAATGCACAATAATGTAATAGTAACGTACACTATGTGCACCACACGTATGTGTGTGTGTAAAGGACACTTACCTAATCAGTTACAGAAATGTCAGCTTTTCTAAGGAAGGTAGAGAAATCATGTTCATTTGAGATGGTGTATTGTTATCCTGTTGATGTTTTCCTAACTAGTATTTTCCCATCTCGAGTGAAACACTTATGTATTTTGTTTTCCTTTTTTAAGTTTTCTCAGCCTGAACAGAAGGTTTTGACGTTTTCTCGTTAGACACTCGTTGATGTACACTCCATTTTTCATTGTAATTGCTGATTTAATTAGGTCTTTTCATTTATCATATGAATGAAATCTGATCATAATACAGATACAGTGCCTGTATGAGTGTTTTGTATACTGTATTCCTCAGGCACACATGCTGCCAAGATGTCAGTTTTTGTATTTTTGGACTAAACCTTCAGATGCACCATTACCTGCCCTAGAGGCCATTGTTAATGGTAATAGTAACTGTGTGTGCATTCTTGCATGCATGCTCATGGGCAGTAACAGAAGCTTGGGAATAATGAAAACAGACAGGTCCCAGATGTGGCCACTGGTTGGTAACACTGTGCTTGACATTGTATGTAGGCAGTTGAAGCTAATTATGTAAATGCTGGGTTTAAGTTAGTGGATATCTCAAAAGTGCACCTTATATGTACTGCACATGAAGCTTAATATATGCACTACATATTCTTCAGGGGCACAGGAAGTCAACCCTATTTCCTTGTGTAAAAGTTATTTCATGTAATACATCTTTTGTTTGCTGATATTCTCTGTTGTTGGTGTACAAATAATTGTACTTGTTTACTTGAACAGAGCCAATTCATCTGACCAAGCACCAGTCAGGCAAAACTTCCTTGAAAACTTCCAATGAATCAGTTAGGCTTATTCCATCTGATCACTAACAAAGAGTAGAAATTCTTTTTATTACCTAGCCAGTTTTGGCAACTTAATTTTAAACTATAGTAAACCCAGATATTGACTGAAGTTATCCTTAAAATTTTAATAGGATCATTGACCCAGGCATCATCACTACCATTTTGAGGTAGGTATTCCCATTAAAAAAGGTAGAAAGTAAATGTCACTAGCAGATAAATGATGGGTTTTATGTTATTTCATTAAGTTTATTTTAATTGTTTTTATAAATAGTCTATCAACTGCATTTTAACATTATAAAATAACCATTATATACAGTATAAGTAACTAGTTTTTGTTTTATTTTCAGGAAGAGGAGGAATGGAATGACTTCAAAGATGAAACTGATAGAGACCTGACAGATTTGAAGATCACTAAATTGCAAATAGAAGATGAAGAGGAAGGTGGTGGAGGTTCTGCAGATGATGATGGCGAGAAGGGAGATCATGGAGACAGAAAAGATGGAGTGTGGAAAACGGAAGCACCTCAGACTCCACATGTTGCAGTGGTATGTAACACTGAGGTACTAAATGAGCTTTTATTTTACACCATATTTACATAAATATTTATTCAGTATTTGTCATATTTGGGATGCAGTAGCAAATAAAAATACATGCAATTGTGTATGCTTAGAAAAGCTAAACATGATTATTTAACACCAATGATCTCTTAATTTTGTGATGTTCAACCTTATTTTTGCATCTACATCGAAAAATACTCAAGAAATGTTGCCTCCTGGCCCTTTTATTTTTGAGGGCTCTGTATTTATTGTCTCTCATGGCTAAACAGATTGATAATATACATAACCAACTGAACTAGGTAGGATATCCCTGTTGGTACCACACTATGATATTAACCCTTTTACTGTTGGTCACATAGTTCTGTGGCAGTGGGATCTGTGTCATAGCACTGTCAGATTTGCAATGAGTGGCAAATTTTGGCCTAGACATGAAAGGGGGTCTGTGTGTTGGGATATTAGTTGGTTTAGCTCTTAGTTTTGATTCTAATAATAATAATAATAATAATAATAATAATAGTGTGTTGGGTGTGGTCAGCCTAAAATACCTGCCTCGCGTACATGATAAACAGCTAATTTCCGACCTTTTGTTTGGGTTACTATAGTGATGGGCATTTTGTAAGGTGTTTCCCCCCCCCATGGGAAGAGTAGGGGGCCTATTTCCCTCTCTCCGGGCATTTAATGGGTTTTATTAGGTCAGTTTCAATTTTTTGGACAACCTAAACCATGGCCAAACATTCTTGGTTATTAGTTATTAGTAGAGAAGTAGGAACAATGTGAATTTGTGACAACGTATTGAATATGGCGGGGCAATTGTAATGTACTTATAGGAGAGGTTTGGAAATGTTAATAAATAAAGGAAAAGCTGTTTTAGTAGCCAGAATGTGTTTAGTTTTTGCTTTGGACTCTGTTTTTAAAATTGGAGTATATAGAAAATAATGTAAAATTAACCAAATTTGATACTATGATAACTGGGGATGATTCAAGAATATCGAAATGGAGGGAATACAATTAGCTGACAAGATAGTGTACACTTCTAGGATATAGTTCTAGAGCAGTTCACTTTTAGGAAACCAGCCAGCTTCTAGCCATGGGACCCAAGACCCCACACTGACTTAGGCTATCTCTTTTCCTGACCAGAACACTGCACCTGGGCAAAGCTTTCCTCAAAGTTCTCTGACAGTGTCTCCAGCTCTTCATCCAGCAAGAGCTTTCTGAAGTTATCCTCTTAGCTGCTTCTCTGAGTTTATATAAGCTTTCACACCTTCTTCCTTTCCTAATTTCCTCTACAAGGTGATATTTGGGAGCATGTCACATGTGGCCTCTATAGAGGCTAGAATCCTCTAACAAGGCTGGGGTTTGGAGATTACCAACCACCACTTCTTTCTTCTCAAAACAAAGGTCTGAGAGACCATGATAGGTGTTCTTCCTTCCACCCCACACCCCACTTCTGGCTTGATCACCTCCTGTGGGACTTCATCACATGGCCCTATGACCCATTGTGTGGCAAATTAACACTGATTACTGTGGTCTCTAGGAGAAACAGAACACCTGGTCACTTGATATTGGAGGCAGTATTAATATATCACAGGGTAGTTTTGATAGTTGAATGGGCAGTTTTTTGTGCAGTCAATGAATAGAGCAGAAGGCTAGTACACTAGCCAAATGGCCAGGGATTGGATCAGTTTGAGCATTGGAATTTTCCTAAAATAGACCTCGGTGGATGAAATTGCTGTTGTGTGAAATGCTTCCTGACCGTTGATTCTGCTTGTATTATTCCTATTTTTTTTAACATGTCGACAATTTCCACCGAGGCAGGGTGACCCAAAAAGTAAGAAGAAACCCAAAAGAAAAAAAACTTACATCATTCAACAATTTCATCATAACTTGTACATAATCACTGTCTCTGCAGAGGTGCTCAGATATGACAGTTTAGATACCCATCCAAACTGCCAGTATCCGAAATCCTTCCTTTAACCCTTTGACTGTTTCAGGCCTCTTTCTGAAACTGTCATTCTATGTCGCTAAATTTTTGAAAAAAAAAATTATTTTTTCTTATGAAATGATGGAGAATCTTTTCCCGATGGTAATGACACCAAAAGTTCGAGATTTGGTCGAAAACTCGTGGAATTACGCTCCCGCGAAGTTAGCGGTCTCGGCGACATATGCGTATCGGCGATTTCGCTGACTGAGCCCTATTTTCAGCCAATTCCGTTGTTCCAGTTGACCAAACTCATAGCTATTTCTTTAGAACTCCATTTTATCTATCTGCTGAGTACAAGAAACCTCCCATTTACCAATTTGAACTACCCAATATTGTGGTCAGAAATTGGCAATTTGGCCAATTTCACGCAAACTAAAAAAGATGCCAATTTCAAAATAGGGTCCAGAAAAAACAAGGTAGACATTCTTGGCACTAAAATAACATATCCTCTGTTCATTAGTCACATCTCTAGGCCCCTCTTATATTATTATTGCTTTCTATTTTGATTTTTTATTCATACAAAAAAATACAAAATTTACTGTTATGCAGACTACTGCATTATTGTAAAAATGGTATAAATAATATCAGTGCACTAGTGAAAGAATATTAGACTCCCCAGTTGACGTGTATTGGGCGTATTGTGTGATTTGTTTACTCCTGAACATTGGTAAAAATCGAACATTTCCATTACTTTGAGCTCAGTTTCAAGGTAGTTTTCATCGTCAAAGTAATAAAAGTCATCTCTATTTCTGTAATATGTTTTCCATTTTATCACCTAAGACCATGAAAACGCAAATACATCGATAAATACTATACGAAAATACACCTCAAAGTCGGCGTTTTAATCCAAAAAAAACGATCAGTTTTTTTTTTCTCATTACGCACTGTGTGCTGCAGGACTTTTTTCATGTGGTGCACACTGACCACACAGACCCATTCTCTCACATGTGGGCCTACCAGCTTTCTTCCGCTTGATTTGAAGCCTCTAGAATTATTGAGTATACGTCTGAAACACTGGCTCATAAGACATATATATACGACCAAAACAGTCATAGGGTTAAAGTGCAGGCATTGTACACTACTTCCCATTTCTAGGACTCGAGTTCGGATAACCGGTTTCCCTGAATCCCTTCACAAAATATTACCCTGCTTGCACTCCAACAGCTCGTCTGGCCCCAAAAACCATTAGTCTCCATTCACTCTTATCTGACACACACACGCATGCTTGCTAAAAGTTGGAGCCCCTTGCCCACAAAACCTCCTTTACCCCACCCTCCAGCCTTTTTGAGGATGACCTCCCTACCCCGCCTTTCTTCCCTTACAGATTTATACACTCCAAGTCATTCTACTTGGTTCCATTCTCTCTAAATGACCAAACCGCCTCAACAATCCGTCTTCAGCCCTCTGACTAATACTTTTAGTGACTCCACACCTCCTAATTTCCATACTATGAATTCTATGCATAATACTTAAACCATACTCTTAGACATGACATCTCCACTGCCTCCAGCCTCCTCCTCGCTGCAGTATTTACAACCCTTGCTTCACACCCACATAAGTGTTGATACCACTATACTCATATATTCCATTTTTTCCCTCTGTGGATAACGTTGTCTCTACAGATACCTCAGTGCACCACTCGCCGCCTTTCATCAATTCTGTGGTTAACCTTATCCTTCATAAACCCATCTACTGACAAGTCAACTCCCAGATATCTGAAAACATTCACATCTTCCATGCTCCCTCCTTCCAGTGTAATATCCAGTTTTTCTTTATCTAAATTGTTTGATACTCTCATCATCATACTCTTGTCTGTGTTCACTTTCAACTTTCTACCTTACACACCCTAAGTATTGCATCAAATTTTGCATTCTTGCTGTCATTATCTTTAGAAAAAGATTCTCTTCCATTTTACAACCAAATAAAAAAAAATGCAGATGCTGAAGGTTTTTTTTTAATTTTGTGGGTGTCGACAGTGAAATGGTTAAATGATGGTAAGAGGAATTTTAAGTTAAATCACTCCACAGGCAGCAGAATTCATTCCTAAAATAAGCTTAATCATTCATTACAATGACAAAGCTTACAACTAGACTCTAAAGACTGAAAACAAAGGTGATTTTCAGTTTACCTGAAAAGAGGCATAAAGAATCAGTCTTCCAAAGAAAAAAAAATCACTGTGAAGGGTACAGCTCTTCGTAAAATACCGTACCTTTTAAGGATTCTAATTAAGTTTGCTTTAACCCTTTGAGGGTCGACAGGCCCTCTCCAAAACTCGTTCTCAGGGTCGGCCAAATTTAAAAAAAAAAAAATTATTTTCTCTTATGAAAAGATAGAGAATCTTTTCCCGATCATAAAGACACCAAAAGTTTGAAATTTGATAGAAAACTTACGGAATTATGCTCTCGCGAAGTTAGCGGTCTCGGCGATGTTTACGCATCGGCGATTTTGCCCACTTTGAGCCCCATTTTCGGCCAATTTCACTGTACTAGTCGACAAAAAACATGAATATTTCGCTAGAGAACTCCATTTTTTCTATCGAATGGGTGCAAGAAACCACTCATTTATGAAATTCAACTATCCAGTACAGTGGTCAGAATTTAGCAATTTTGCCAATTTCACACAAATTTCAAAAGATGCCAATTTCCGAATAGGGTCCAGAATAAACAAGAAAGACATTCCTGGCACTAAAATGACATTTCCTCTAGTCATTAGTCACGTCTCAAGGCCCTCTTATATTCTTTTGCTTTCCACTTTGAATTTTTATTCTCACAAAAAATATAAGATTTACTGTTATGCAGACTACTGTATTAGTGTAAAAAATGGTATAAATATTATTGGTGCACTTGTGAAAGAATATTAGACTCACCAGTTGACGTGTATTGCACGCTTGACACGATTTGTTTACTTTTGAAGTTTGGTAAAAATCGAACATTTCTGCTACTTTGAGCTCAATTTCAAGGCACCTTTCTTTGTAAAACCAGTCAAAATCATCTCAATTTCTGTAATA